ATAGAGATGGACAGGGCACATTGCAAGATTAAACGATGGCAAATGGACCAAGAAAATCCTGGAATGACGACTAAGGGCAGACGAGCCAAACCGAGGTCGGCAGCCCAGCAGATGGACCGATTAGGTACGTGAAAAGGATTAGCACCAACTGGATAACAACTGCGCAGGACAGAGGACTATGTCCAGCAGTGGACGAACCAAAGCTAAATTATGATGATGATTGATGAATAATGTATTAGATATACATATTAATGTGGTATTTTTCAAAGCAAGGAAGATTTTTAACAGAAAAAATAATCTTTTAAATCGAATTTTTTTTCCGATTTTTAATACATTATGAGTTTTAAGAGAAAATTTCAGGTTTTTAAGCAACAAGTTTTTTGCGATTTCTCAGAAACTGCTTATGACGGATATTGTGACTTTTGCAACTACACCCCTCATATAAGTCAAGACATCCTAAGGCTTTGAAAACCATTAGACCAGGTCAAATAAACCTGTGAAATTGGTGATTGAAAATAAAGATAAAGTCGCGTTATATGAATAACATCATATTTTTTTGTCAAAATATTTCTTAATCCAAGGCAAAAATTAAAAGACCATAACTGTTTGAGACCAAGGACGTTATTTAATGTACAAATCAGGAAAAACTGGAGAAACACAGAGCACTTTTCGATTCCTTAAGTCAAAAAGTTTCAACATTCTGTCAGCATGACTTAAATCGAGCCACAAAATTTCCAGATCCTATGGGCAATCAAAAGTATACTATAGGACACTGATAAGGCAACAATAACGGTAAATATTGCAACGGATGTGATTGAGATCGCCCAAAATTTTACTCTTGCGTTGGAGGAGTTTTTCAAAACTTGAACGAGGTATCGAAATAACCTCCGCTGCGGGGATGATATTGTACTTATTCATAAGTCATAACATAGAAGAACTACAATAAATGTTGGCGGAAGTTTAAGTGAAATCAGACCAAGCAGGACTTTCTATAAGCATGGGAAAAATAAATATCATGCCCTTATAAAATGACGAAAATTATGTTTATACTTAGGGCATTACATCGAGATTTACAAACCGAATAGAATAGCTGAAATTAGTGGAATAATCTCAAGAAGGATTTGACATGCATACTTGCACCTTCCCTGTTGACTTGGTAATAATAAAATCAGCCAACAGACAGGATAATGATGCCAGGGCTAGATTTCAGGCTACAAATGACGAGATCAGACGAAGAACAAAAATTGATGATGTCAAAACAGGAATATGATGCGTAGAATGCCTATGATGGGATGAGTTGTCATATACCTTCACCATGTACCAAGTTTCAGCCAGAAAGGTTCTAAAAAAGAAAAAAAAAATCCCTCAATACTGCAGGTCAATATGTCACGTCCCAAGCTCCTAGTTCGTGATAAATCACAAATTTGCAGATCGAATTTAATTAATTACTTTTTTACGACTTCACCTGGTCGACCGCGACAAACCTTGAGTTGATTGATTATGTCTCATAAAATTATGTCTAATCAAATAATTATGTCTCATATAAAATTATGCCGTGAATTGATTTATAGCTTTTCGCAAAATAACTGATAACCTGTGGGCGACCCTTCCTAATTGAAAACGACATGAGCCTGGCAAAGAATTAAGCTCTTATCTATAATTTGCCGTGAAAAAATTGGCCTTGTCAAAAATTGGAAGTAAATTTGTTTGCTTGGCTTTTATGAGAATTTCAGGGTCTTATGTCGAGGCCTACGAAAGCGTATAAGAGACCTTGGTATAAGGGCCACCAGTAGGTTTTTTTTTTCAATAATTCTGAGATAAAAGTAGGAAAAATCTATTTTCTAAGATGCTAGTCGAATTATACACGATGCCCGCGTCTCGTTTTTTTCGCACTTCCCCAATTTCCGTCAGCTCTCCTCTGGGGAAGCTTTGACTTTCGAACCTTCCACAGCCAGGTTCGAGGAAAAGTAGATCTCGCGATTGGCGGAATGTACGATTTTAAAGAGAATTTCTAAAGGGGGAAAAATATAAGAAACTCACCCCAACCGGTGAGACAAGGCTTTTTTCCCCTATTGTTTGGGGGAAATGTTTTTTCCAAATTCTGTGACGTCGGGTCGGAACTCTGATCAAGTTCAAAATTGGTGTGCCCGTAGAAGAGCACGAGCGGTATTGATGAAAAAGAAATACAAGGGGCCCATCATGTGTGGGGGACGACGCCAACGAAACTCGGGTGAAAGGGGTCTAAAGAAGAGTTTATTTCTTCAATTTTCAAAACAATATTTTCCGAATTTTGAAAAACATTGACATGAATTTCGCTCCGACGCCTCGTAAGGCTGAAAAAAAAAATAATTAAAAAGAAAATGAGCATTTTGGCGTGACGAAAATTTCGGCCCTCCGACATGGCTCTAAGGTTTCGTTAATAACTCGGGCAGTTTTCAACCGAATAGCCGTTCCTTTAAAGGAGGATTAAATTACATACAAAAAACCTTTTTTACCGATATTCGTCTCCGAATAGCGTCAAAGTTGAAATTTCTTTGAAAAATAGTTTTTTCCGACTTCGATCTCAGAAAAGTATATTGCGTTTATGAGTGGAAAAGTGACACATTCTTGACCGACGGTGTCAGTTGACAGGCGAAGCGCAGCCGAAGCCGGTAATCACCGAAGACCGAGATAGTGTTTTCCCTCCGGAATACACATACCTACTTATTCTGTGATCGCTCAGTATAATGATAAAGATGAGAAGTATTTTTGAAATGATGAAAAATGATATTTGTTTTTTTTATGTGATATCAATTAAATTAATGTTTATTATTTAATTTTGAATATACCATTGTTATATCTACAAACAAAAATCAAAGTCATCCAAATTTACGCACCAACAACCAACCACGAGGACCAGTCGTATGGAAAGAGTGTAGCAAATGCTTTCACTCTACCTCCATTTCTTTTTCCTGCATTAAAGCTGAATATGTTTATCTCAAAAAACTTAAGCAAAATCATTTGCTTCTGTTTTATTCATATGAGCCAGTGTCTTCACGAGAACGAAACAAAGTACACACTAGTTGGAAGATGTAAATGCAAAAATAGGCCAACATGACACCGACTCATGTTACATTAGCAAATTCGGAAATGGTACAAGAAATGAAAGAGGCAACATGCTACTCAACTTCTTAGAAAGAGTTCAACTCTTTGCGATGAACACATTCTTCAAAAAGAAACCTAACAGAAAATGGAAATGGGGCAAGCCCGGATGGAAAGACAAAAAACGAAATGGATTTTATACCCTGACACATCAAAAACACATAATCCAAGATGCAGACGTCTTAGGCTTATTCACGACTAGCAGCGATTGAGCAGTAAGATGTAAAATAGCCATGAGTGGCAGATAAGAAAGAGCAAAGAAATTCAACCGCTCCCAAAATAAAGTAAGCACGCATCCTAGATAAGCTGCAAGAGGTGATGGTAAATTCGGTCCCTAGCAGGTAGCAGAATAAATTGAAAATTTTATACCCTTTTATCGATGAGTAAATTCGGTCCCAACCATGTTCATTGCTAAGGGTTTTACAATCCTTGCCTGTTTAACCAACTTCGTAGAAAAAAGTAATTAGGATTATTATGGGTGCAAATTTTACTTCCCTAATAACTAGGCAATATTTCCTATTTCGATTAATTTCTGTTGTGAATTCGACTTGAGCTAATCAAAGAGTTGTTATCGTTTTGTGTGTGTGTTGTTCAGAAGTATATTATCGATTTACGATGGATCTTGAAATTATTTCAAATGAAAAGGAAGAGCCCGTAACAGTTGTAAATAACTATAAGTACCTATAGTTTTCAAAAAAGTTGAAAAGTGGGGAAAAACGGCGGATTTGCACCAACAAAAGTACATGTAAATCATATTATGTGCTTATTGTGGGTGAGGTGGAAAGTTTAATCATAACAAAGCATATACAGGAGCATTGCCACATATTTTATTACAAAAATGATCGATTCATATGCTTGAAAGGAAATAAGTCGTTCGCATTCCATTAAATGTGTCTCATTTCACTGTGCGGTTTAATTAATTATGACTTTTTTCAAGAATGTGAAGATCTTATAGTATGTTTAGTATGTAGGAACCTATACCACAGCTATACCCGCTGCAAGTACAGGGTTTTCCCGTATATTTTTGCACCCTAACTGCAGCCTTTATAGGTAGATGATACGTGTAAATCCAAACGCTGTGCAGTTTTAGCTAAATTATTAGAATCCACCATCAAAAACCAGAAATTTATTTTCAGAAAGTAGAAATTTTGCGTACTTTCAACTTTTTTCAAATGGAATGCCGTATAATTTGATTTTATATTTTTGAAAAGGACAATTTTGCGATTCCGAAAGTATATAGTTTGTATAAGGTAAAAGCTGCAGGTGCATGGGGTGCAAATTTATATAAGAGAACCCTGTTCATCAAAGAGCAATCAGAGGCCAGAGCGTCATCGGAAGTGTTTACAAAAACTTCTCCACTTTTATAAACATTCTGTTTGCTGTTTTAAAAATCTTGCTAAAGAAGTAATCCGTTGACATACAACATAAACAAATACTAATTAGACAGGCTATGCAAAAAATGGGTATGTTCTTAAAACAGCCTTTTACATACCTGTTTTCTACATATAATTTCAAAATATTTCGAAAAGAAATAGGTTGGTTAGTGATCTTTTGAGCTAGATAAAGTCAAGCAATTTACAAAAAAAGGAAAGTTTCAACTTACATCAGCTTCAACTGGTTAAAGAAAGTCACCTATTGAAATTGAAAATCTTACTGATATTTTGCTGATTGGAAAATTAATAGGGTTTCAATCGGTAATTATATAATTATTCCAACAAAATTGACGTAGCAATAAACATCATCATAACACAAACTTTTCCATATTTACATCGGCTACTGGGCTATTTATGTCAACTTTGAGTTATTAACAACCCACCCTAAATTTCACTTATGAATTATTGTAAAAATGCACCACTTACTTGGACTATCAATCCTTTCATATAGTTGTTCCCTTGGCGGATCATGATAAGCACTACACGTATACATAGGATTCAACGGTTGAACAATCGGAGATGTGTCACTATAAACGCTATCATTCCAGGTTCTTCCATAGGAATTTGCAGTATCGTCACTGTTGTAGTAACAACTGCCTGTCTGGTCGTTGGAATTGTACAGCGGAACGTCCCAATATTGTTCCTGGATGGGTGCGAAATTATCCTTTTTCAAACAATATTCACTGTCAGTTTGCATGTTCATGCTCAAAATATCCTTCACAGAAAAAGGCGTCACTAAATTGCCACTTGTTGTCGTATCACAATTATTTTGGTAAGTGACTTCGTAGGATTGGTGGTACATTGTTAATTGAATCTGAAAGGTAATTACGCAAACTAATTGATCTATCTCCACTCGAGTCAAAACCGAACCTAATTATGCATAACATCCTTAGTGAGGAACCCCACTAATTCACACGTCAGACCAACTCCCTCGTGATCAATACACTAAAATCGCCTTTAAACCAAGGATGCTTAAGTGCTTTTTTGTTGCAACGAACCATTACGACTAATAGCTTAAGTTCAGTCCTCATTGATGCCCGTGACGTCATTAAAACCACGCCCTCGCCCAATGGAAATTGAGAATAAGCTAATATTTGACTTCCGTGATTGATTGAGACATCTGGCCTGACTGAGGCTTATTTTACATTTAAAGGGGATTGGAATAGCAGACACTATAAGTATTAGGGAATATTTGTTGTTTGCGGGCGATTTATGGGTTTTAATGGGGTTTAATGAGCCAATCAAGGGGTGAAATTTGAGTGGGTATTGAGCCCGCACGCAAAATGAACTAAGGGTTTATGATAAATAAAAACTAGTCATTGAATATTTTTTAAGAGGAGCGTTCTGACATTTTATGGCAGTACATCGCAGGTATTCTTGTTTCTTCATCTTGATTTTTGACGATTAAGGGAATGTTTTTCAAGTAATACTCGGTGATTTTGGTATGAGATAAATATTTTTAGGTGAAATCTGTAATAAGTAATTTCACATCTTGTGCCAGTTATATCGGGACTTCAAAAAAAAAAACAATCAAAGACTGCTCTGATTACGAAAACGTATGTCGAATTATTGTTTCTTTATTGGTCAAAATTTTTGACATGACATTTTGACATTGAAGTTCATTGACAAAATTAAAGAGAAATATTGCTAAGACATACGTTCAAAACACCATAGCAATCTTTGATTGGTTTTTTTTTTTGAAGACCCATTAGCTGGAAAACGTTTCAGAAAACTAGATTTCCAAGTATGGCATTTCGCTTCCGCATAGTTTTTTTTTCATAAACTATCGGAAAACACAAGAATTTTCATGAAACAACACATTTGAAACCCGCTATTTATCTGACAATTTCGATTAATCATCAGTTATCATCTTTTTCGATTTAAGTAATTCGATTCCTAGAGGGTCGCCCTACTTGTTACAAATGCCTAACTTTTCTGTGTTATAAGCTCCTGGTCTATTACGGTTTGATTGATTTTGGAACGTTTTCCCATTGTGAAAGTAAATTAATTTTTGGAAAATAAAATTTTCTCATTTAACAGGCACAGGGATTGCGAAAAGGTAAATTCAGATTTGCTAAAAATGCTTAAACGCGGCTGCTATTTAAGAATGATTTTGGAAACTCATCAGTTTCTATAGGTACATTTTTCACGACCTGACTTGACTCGTTTTGCATATGCCCTTTTAGTATTATATTATGTCCGGGGTTCAATCAAATAAGTATAGGCGTTCTTACTGATCACTATAGTTTAATCACTATGTAAATACTGAATTAATAGTACACAGTATAACTATGTTAATGGGATGCTATTTCTGTTATCTGAAGAACTAAAGAACTACTGGCCAGCCAGTTCGACGAAAACTGATTGACATCTCTATAGTCTGTTAGCTAAGAAGCGGCGTTATAAATAAATTAAACTGTTCATATCATAATACATGATGACAATACAATACATGACATGCCTCTCCTAATAAATAGGTTTTTACATTCCAAGCTGCGAAAGAGTACTTTTAGGCCGAGGTGTTTTTAAATTTGAATACCTCCGAGCACCTAAAAGGCCTTGTGCAGCGTGTAATGTAAATTTAATGTGAACTTTTTATTCTTGCCCCTCATGATTAAAAATTCCAGTTAAATTTAATCTCCGGTTAAATTCAAAGTTGATGTCAAATGAAGAATGAGTTTATGAAAATCTAAGACAGGAATGTGAAATCGGTTTTCCTCTAAAATTGACCGTTTAGATTTTACCGCCAGTCAAAGTTGCAGAAAGTCAATTTTCAACTGTCAATATTTTCAAAACAGTTGAACTTAGGTATACGGTATATTACATGAAATCTGCTTAGAATTTTACGTAGAATCCAAATATGCAATCACATACAGGGTATTCTATTTAAAAAAAAAAACAAAGTTCTGTCGCATACCCCATGAACGGAGCACCCTGTATATGCAAAAATATTTTTAACTAATGCATATTAGAGTATCAAACAACTTTGTAATTTTTTTTCTTGCATCACCCTGTAAGGAGATATCATCCGATATCGCACTAAGTGGACACCCTGTATATATAAATAATAAAATAAAAGGAATATAATGACCGTGTTTAATAGTATATTACAGATAATATATTATCAATCTGCATTGAATTTCATTGTGAGGTTACTACAAAAAAACCATCCAGATTAAAAAATTCTTGCCTTAAGGTTTGTGATATTAGTAATATTTTCTCGTAAAACAAAGCATCTCTATGTCAGTAGAGATCATTTTTAATATTCCAGTATTTTTTTTGATTCAGAGGGAAAATTGCTTTTGTGTTCAGGCCATCCAGAAAGGAAGAAAATGTTTTACTTGTTGCAAAATAGCATCATTCGAGAATACTTCTTCAAGGCGTTCTTCGTTTTAAAGAGACGTGACTATCACAGAATAAACCATTAGGTTTAGATCCAAGTACGTGCTATCAATAAATTCATGACTCGGGCTCCTATTAAGAGTATCAGCTATTTGCATTTTCTTTCCTGGGACATATTCTAGTGTAAACTGGTAGCTAGTCTTTGCAATCTTGGAGACAACTCATCATTTCAGTAAACCTAAAAGGAGTCTATGATCAGTTTGGATTAAAAATCCTTCACCATATAAATAAAAATGGAATCTTCCACAGCCCATAACCAAAGCCATAAGTTCCTTTTCAATGTGGTTGTACCTTTTTTGAGTGGGAGTAAGAGATATTGAAGCATATTCCACTAGATGGTATTCCTGCATAATCACTGCTTCAAGACTGAATGGGCTTGCATCAACATTAAGAATAGTTTCTTTTTTAGAGTCAAAATATAATAGCACTTGTGTAGATGCCAGAAGTTTTTTAAGCTGTTGACAACAAATATTTTCATTTTCAGTCCACACTCATTCATTTTTTTTAACTGAAAAACTTTTTTAATGGCGCAGTTTTTTGTGAAAGATTTTGTAAAAATTTAGCAAACTATCATGCCCAAAAGTCTCTGTGGTTCTTTCCAGTTTCCAGGTGGTTTGATATTTTCAATAGCATCAATTTTCCTTCCGTCAGCAGCAATACCTGCTTCGCTGATTACATAATCTAAGAATGTTATGCTTTTCTGACAAAAATACGATTTTTCTTGATTTAATGTAAGGTCACTTTTACAGATTTTTGCAGCACACTTCTTATGGCATTTTGGTTGAACGCGGAATTCAACCAGATTTTGGTATGTTGTATATTTCGACCTCTCGAGTAAAAGTTCTCATGGGCACAAACCGATCCTATGACTAGTTTCGGATATACGAGGTTTTTTCTAATACTACCTTAGGCAACCTAAGTACTAAGTACCTATATAAAGTGTACATGAAGGAAAAAAACTTGCATTTATTGCTTGAAAAGTTGTTTATTTCATCTTTCCCTAACTAAAAATGTTTAGTAGGCGTTCGTAATTCTTCCTTTATATACCAGTGACGCTCAAAAACTATATGGCTATTACTAAGGTAAATGAGTTAATGACCAAGAATGTTCAAAAGTGTGAATAATTGTATACTTGTAGGTATCTACGTTTTGTGATAAAAGTAACTTTCTATCTCTCAATGAATTCCAGTTCTCGATACGCTCGTGCTAAAAACTTTTTACCATGACACCATCCCTTGGCCTAAGGTCTAATGGCTGTTTGCACCAATCATTTCGAGGGACGATTAATGATAATCAACGTTTAAAGTGACATTTTTAGATGTACAAGTGTCACTTTAAACGTTGATTATCGTTAAACCTCCCTTAAACTGGTCGGTGCAAACGGCCATAAGTGTATTGGTATTAGAAGGACTAAGAGTGAATCTTACTGTTTTATTCCGGGAAGATGCCGGAGTCCGTAGATTGGCTGTAAAGCGCCCTACCGACGTTGGTTTAATGAGATCGAAAGGCCTAATAAATATAGGCATCTAATGTTAAGTTTTATTATAAAAGATAGAAACAAATATAAGTATCTGCTATTTAAGACTCCCGCACTGATAAAAAGGATATCTTGAAAAGAGATAATTAATTCTCTTGGAATAATATTATCTCAAATGAAGGAAATTTCCTCTTTTAAAAATAACGAACTCTTGCATTAAGATTTTTCTTGGCTTTGATAATTTTCATGAATTCTCTTGCTTTCAAAATTTCTTATTTCAAGGATGATTTCTTCAACTGAAAAACATAGTTAAGTAGTGATCTGAAACCAAGGTATTGTATTTTGGTTCAAGACCTCAGTCATTTAACTGAAGGAAACAAGCCGTGAGTTAGTTTCCTTGAAACAAAATCAAATAATAACCCAACATAGTATATTTTAGTCCAAGTACACAGGCATTTGATTAAAAGAAACCTATAATGCAATACGTAATCTTCAACTAAGATAATATACCTTGATTCAAAAACCCAATCCTTGGCTTAATATCCCTTCCCAATTTTCCATGGGATGCGAGACACGAGGCAGAAGGTGTCCTTTGTGGTGGTGACTTTGGCCGTGTCGTCCTCGTTTCTAGAACGCACATGCAGTACGACAGGTTTTTTTTTTTTTGAGGAGGATTTTTGGATCTGTTTAAGACAGTCGAGAGGAAAAAGTGTACACCTTAGTGTACACTACTGTTAATTTATTCTCATTGAATACCTAGATTAAACCAAAAATGGACGAAAATCAGAATCAGGTCAGTAGTTTTCTGGACAAAGCGAAACTAGGACACTTGTTACCCATATTTGAAGGTAGGTTGTTGTCTAGCATAATTTTATTACAGGGCCAAGATTATTTCGTAGCTTTTGCGTTGTACCTAAAAATGT